ATACAAGTTTTATTAACATCCAATTGTCATGTAATATTAACATTCTTTTCTCTAAGCCATTACCTTCAATGGTCATGTAAGGTAAAAGAAAGAAAAAACATAAAATGCCTATGACCTTGTTAATTTAATAATGATTAGAAGAGAAAAATAAAGTTTTATCTACTTAGTGTCTCGTTTTAGCCTATAAGTCTATTAATTACATGTGGTATGGACGCTTATGTAATTAATTATGAGATGCTAAGAATGGCCAATTCCTAACATACATTTACATGCACTAAAATAAAAACCAAGCATATGGAAATTGAAATTATTAAATATCAAGATCACATAAAGTCATAAAAAGGACTCACCATAGCCATAGTTATGGATTTAGTCACTTATTATAAAATAAAAAATCAAAACAACTGTAAGCAAATCTATAGACATGAAAGAAGAATGCAAATTAGAAAAATCCTACAAGAGAAAGGGAATAGAAAGAGTTCTCGTTCTACAAACACGTTCTCGATCACTTGCTTAAACTCTAAATAAGCTTTCTTTGTCTTCGCTAGTGACCTTCACTCTCAATGATTCCAAGTGTTATCAAAGATATGTCAAAATTAGGAAGCCTAAGTTGTAGACCCCAAGGTTCTTTAAATAGGATTTTGGGTCTGCCAAAGATAATGATTGTTACCTCTAATAGATATGATGATATGACATATCTTAGGAGAAAGATATGATTTGCCAAAATTCAAATTCTTCCTTTGCAAATCCCTAGAAAAATCTCCACTTTGAATGCAATAGAATAGGAGCATGACCGTGCTCACCATCATGCACAGTCATGCATATGCTTGAAGTATAGGCATGCTTACTGGTGAAGTATGAGCGCACTTGTCTTGTTTTCCTATCAATTCATATCTAAAATGCCTCAATAATCCACCAGAACTCTAAGTATGCAAAGTTGTGATACTCATTAAAATAATTAGTACAAAACTTATTTAAATAAGGAATACATATATAAAAGTAGGTTGTAAAAACATGTTAAAATACACATTTATTATTATATTTTTTAAAGTTATTGAGAGTTTTCTTTTTTACTCATTCTTTTCTATTTTCCATCTTCTTTAACACCTTCAATTTTATTTTCAATCTAATATCTACATTTTCTTCTTCCTTGTTATTGTCATTTGCAAGCTTATTCTCCATTTTTCTTTTTCGAGTTAGTGTTGATTGACTTTGATATAACCCATTATACTTTTCATGACCTTACAAACTTCTCAAATTTAAAGGAGAGTTGTTGTACGACTGAGTTGACTATGTCAAAATAAAGCAAAAAAAGAGAAAATATAGAAAGAAGATGAAATTTGTCTTAACAACTATTTGTATAGGGAAACAAAGTTGATCTTAAAAGGAGAATGAGTTATCTACTTGCATTTTTTAACTTTTTTTAGTTTGACTTTTTATTTGAAATATTATTTAATAAGCATACTATATTTTTTTATTTTTTAAGCATTATAATATTGCTCTTTTGGAGATGTTTACTCTTCATTATTGGATGTAAGTGTCATCCAATTGTCTAGATCTTTGAACAAAAAGAAAAAAAAAGGATGACAAAGGCAATGAGATTTTTATAGAGTTAAATATATGTTTAGTTTTTATATTTTTTTGTATTTTAACCCCTAATTATGTAAAACTTTACTTGTCACACATTTTCTTTTTAATTCAAACTTCATAATTAATCCCTTATGTTACTTAGTCTTCATTAACTGTTGACATGACTAATGAAGTTCCAAGTTATCATATTATTCAAAAATTAAAATTATTTTTAATTCTCATAAAATTATCAAAATTTACTTTTAGTTTTTATAATTTTTTTTTGTGTTTTTGGTTTAGTCTCTATGTAAGAGTTATGAGGTTGAAAGTTATTGAATTTCATTTATAGTGTGAGCATAAATATAAGTTTGTTTGACTTAAGTTAAATATGCCTTATGCAATTCTATCAATAATTCGAACTTCATCCTTTTCCTCCAAACATAAATGCAATTAATATATTTTGCTTCTTTGCTTGGTACTACTTGATTTTAAGTTTGATCTTTTCTCTATTTTGCCAACAATAATTATAAAAGTATAAGTATCATGGTGGGGGTATCGGGTTTCTTCTATTGAACAACGGATGAGTATGGAAGTATTGGTACCACGATGTGTGCATGATCTAGATTTGGGAGATGTTTTTTCTGTTTAAAATACTACAAACGATGGCTAGGAGAATGAGTATAAGGTTGAGGGAGTCTTAGCTATTCTTAATGGTATAGGTCTGAGGATATTGGAAGGGAAAAACACAATTTGAGAACTACAATGAGTGTGAAAAGCTAATAACCCTCTCTCTTCTTGTATGGTAACATTGTGTAACATTGTCAACGTGTCTCCCTCTTTTTCCATTTATGTGTGGGAGAAAATGAGTCATTAGCTTAAGAATGATTTCTTGTTTATTTTAAGAAATATAAATGAAGTCGAGATGTGTAGATAATATGGAAGAGTCAGTGACATTAAAAATCGTGTTAAGAATGTTGGAGTAGTTGATATAGCTAGTTGTTTATTTGTTTTTCTGATTACTTTCATCTATTGCACTTAATATTCAACACCACAATATCTAAGATGTCATATTAGATAAAACCTTAGTTTAGAGTCATCTTATGGATGTTGTTTACTTTTAGAAAAACTTAATATTATGTAAAGACAAAAGTATTAAATAAGTAATAAAAAATTTATGCATGTGGCAAAGAAATTTCTTGTGAACTTTGACAAACAAATAATATATTTTGTTAAATTTTTTGGTTGTCTCTTTTTCTTCTTCTTTTCCTACAAAAGAAAATAGCACTCTCAATTCACCATTAGAAGATTCACACTACCTCTTACTCTTCTCCTATTTTTTTCTCTATTAACTAACTTCTCAAACTTAAAGAGAAAAAGGTAAATTAAATTTTCCTCACCTCAATACTAACTTTGAACTTTCACTTTATCCATATTAGATAGTAACATTGTCAACCATTGCATTGAATAATATTTGTAGGATACCGGTCTTATTTGGTTACTATATTGTAATTATTTTACTATAACGTACAAAATTCTCATTTAGAACTTTTAGGTTCAATTTTTCTTATTGTTACCTCTTAACAACACAAATTATGATTCTTGGTAAAAAAAAAAGTGACTGCGTTAGTATGAAAATTAACATATTGAAGAACGTATATTTTTGTTAGTGTTTGTAGAGAGAAAAATGTGTGGATAATTGATAAGAGAAAGAAGAAAAAAAAAAGACAAATAGTTATTTTTTATTAGAGTTTGAAATATAGAAAAAAATGCTTGCTTTCTTTTTCTAAAATGTGTTGATTTTCTTGAATCGTTTGAAGCTGATATACAAAATGCATGCAGTAATTGACGTCGAGCTTGGGTGGCAGGGAAGTAGGGGCGCTTTTTCGTGACGTAGGCAGAACAAAGAAATGCTTGGTGTCACGATTTTCTTTCAATAAAGGATAATTGCAAATATTAAATAAGACAAAATGTAATCAATACTCTTAAAATATTAATTAAAATTATTTTTTTAATACTATGAACATATTCTTATCATAATTTTTAATATGCTATATTAGATTTCTAATAAACATTTTTATTTATTATTTTAACTATTTTTTTTACACTACTTAACAAAATTTATAAAATTATAAACCATTCGATTACATTTGTAAGTTCCTTCTTTACACACATACACAGATATATCTCTAAGCTATCCTAGTCGGTAATACTAGATTGAGGACGATTTGTCTTATTTTTTTAAAATTTCAATAAAAATTTATTGTAAAAATTTTATGATGATTAAATATTTTTTTAAAAAAATAAGAAGCTCCAAGCAATTTTTTTTTTCATTTTAAAATTTGTAATATATATAAATAATGAAATATTATATTGATAATCAAGTAATTTGACAATATATTTGATTAAATAATAACATAATATTCGTATATAATTTAAAGAATTATATATTTTAGAAAACTAAATATGACATAATATTAACAATTAACTCGTACAACTGAAAAAAAGGTCCCAAAATGGCATTGTATATAACCTTTTGTTTTCTAAACTTCAAACAAATTAATTTGATATGTTTTCACTAATTTTAATATGAATCGGTAAATTTTTTAAATGACTGATTTTTTTAATCTATATAAACTAGCCACTTAACTAGTAAACTCATTTTTAACACAAACGGACCAGTTTGGTTATTTTTTCTATCTTTTTATTTTTTTAAAACAATTATTATTTAATACACTACTAAAATAATAAAACAAACATTTGAGCCAAAACTAATGAAATACTGTTTAAAAAATTTGATTTTAATAAAATAATTTTTTTAATAATAATATATTAAATATTAGTAAAATATTTGATTTTATTAAGTATCATTTTTATAAGTGACTTATAGGATCTTTAAAAAAATCAGTTATATATATGAATTGTATTAATAATTTTTTGATATGTTATTAATTTTTTTTAAGAGTTATAACAAAATACTTCTTACACTTTAAATTTGTTTTTAATAAAATATTTATATTTAAAAAAATAATAAAAAAATACAAACAACTATTTAAAATTATATAAGAAAATATTTTAATATAGAAATTATGTAAATTTTTTAACTATGTAAAATGTTATTTGCGTGCTATTACTCTGAATTCTAAAACAAAGAGGTAAGACAAAATTTAAAAATAAAATAAAATTAAGAGTTTTGATAATTGGTGGTCCGTATAAGAGGATTAGCTCAATCATGGACTTGGAATGGCGGCCCAAACTCCAAAGGACGGGGCAAATTGCAATCCATGTTGTCCTTTGTTTCAACCATGAAAAACAGGTACGGCTAAACTCAAACTAATTAAGTTTTTTGTTTCTTTTTTTTATTATTTTGTTAAATTTATTTCTGGTCAATAAATAATTTTATATATAAATTGAAAATGGAATTATGTGACACTATCTGGTTTCCTTGCGGAAAACTAGAGGCCAGGGTCTTGTGGGTTTGGTTAGCTCAAACACGGTGGAGGCAGAGAAGAGGCTCAAAGAATGGCAGCAGAGTCACTGAGAGTAACCACTTCATCTCTCTGCCATCTCAATGAATCACAGAGGAGACCAACCCCACTCTCTCCGGTTCGCTTCATGGGTTTTCGCCCTCAACCCTCTCACTCTCTCTCTTCATCGTCTCTTTCGCACTTCTTCGGGAGTTCTCGAATCAACCACAATTCTTCCAATTCACGCCAACTTGCTCCAAGAAGAAGAAACCATTCTGTTTTCGCCTCCCATGTCGAAAGCCACACAGCCTTTCACTTGGAGCGGTGTTTTGCAGCGCCGTCCGCCCCTTCCCCTTCGATGAAGGGCCAGTACGGTGCCTTCGGTGCCGTTACCTTGGAGAAATCGAAGCTCGATTTAACGCAAAAGCAAAGCCAATCCTCCCCCGAGGTAACTCCTTTTTCCTTCTTTTCTTTCACCTGTTTAGGGTTTTCTTCAACGCTTCGTGTTTCTTTTATCATTTTATTTTAGTTTTATCATTTCTGTGTTACGGTAGGGTTAGAAGAACACATATTTGCCTTTTTCTTTTTTGTTTATCGGTGGATAATTAACTTTTACACATTCACTGCTTAATAATTGAATTAAGAGGGTTATTGAAAATTGAATCATCGTCATTGTAATAGATAATAACGATTTTTATTTTATTTTTTTGTTTCTTGTGCTTCATTTGCCTAGTAGTGTCTTGCATTATGTTTTGCTACCGAAGAAAAGTGTGGTTGAAAAGCTAGGTTGTGCTAGCTTGTTAATTGAGATGACCGAAGGTGGTGTTTTTGATTGGTATTGAGTCTGAAATGAGATTGGATTGAATATTTTAAAGCGTTGCTTATATTGTTTACATAAAGGATTACCGATTACATATGAGAAATGTTAAGGCCAGACTGACTGGTCTTTCCAATAACACTTGCTGTCCATTTTGGCAACATATGTTGTTACTTGAGCCTAGAACCATGTGATAATTATCTCTTGGCACAGCTACCTTAGTTGAATTATTTGTTCACACTCATTAACTAGTAAGTTTATCAAAAGCTTGTAATAGCTCTTGAGAAAACAAGTTTTTTTATGATTACACCAGCTATAATCAGCATCAGCAATAACATGTACCTATGAAGCATGGAAACCTCTCTTGTTTGAAGTGTCATTATGTCACACACTATTCTAACACTGACTTCTCGAACACTTGTTTGACACCTGTCACACACTCCGTATTAGGTGTTCATTTAATTTTGTTGGCTCGGACACTTGATCTGACACTTCTATATGACTTGGACACCTAAACCAACACTGTAGTATAGATGGACCCATACTGATATTATTAAAATTATTCATTTTTTTAATTTTTAGAAAACTCAAACTTCAAATATAATGTAAAAAATAATGCTTCTTATTTATTATTTTTTTGTAGGGCTTGTTATCATAGAAAATAATATAAAACCTGTATAGTGGTTTGAGAAGGTGAATATGATATAATTTTATCTTGTTTATATTTTTTTACACAAACCGAGTACTTACATTGTAAAATAATGTCTCTTAATATTTGTTTGGGAAGCTTATTAATTACTATGTGTGTGTGTGTGTGTTGTTCTCCTATATTTTAATCATAAGCCGTGTCTTGTTGGAGTCTGTGCTTTGTAGGCGCATACCAAATTGCTTATTTTGACCACAAAGACTTTGTTTAGGAGTGTTTGGAGGAAGAGAGGAGGAAATGATTTGAAGGATAATGGAGAAGAAAGGAGAGTTAATAAAAAATTTCCCAAATTGAGGAAATTTTAAAACATAGAATTAGGAGGGTTTATAACACAGTTGATAGCAGCGTGTAGTGGATGACCCTCAAAACACTATAGCGGAATAGCACATAGTAGGATTACCGCTATTTTAAAGTTTTTTGTATGGAGATAATATATACATATGCATATAATTATGTATATAATGCTAAAAAAAATATGCATAAATAGCATATGAATGATTATCAACAGAAGACATAAAGAGAATAAAGAAAGTAAATTTTCCGGGAGCACATAATCGAGGCAGGACTGTAGAATCACAGAATAGAGAGAAGAAGGGAAGTGGATTTTGCCAAAGAAGTCATCAAAGATGAGTGACACTGCTGGATTGGAGATTGTTGCAAAGCAGAACAGAGACAGAGATGAGAGGAGGGAGTGTCAAACAGAGAAGGGGAGAGAAGAAAAAAGTGGAGAAAAAGTGGGGTTTTGTCATGTATCTCCAGTTGCAAAGCAGAACAGCAATAGAGATGAGAGGAAGGGGTGTCGAAGAGAGAAAGGAAGAAGAAAAAACACAGGCAAACGTGAGGTTAGGTCTGAAAAATGAGAATACTATTTTACCCTTAAAAACCTTAAAGACTGTGCCATCATAAGGGCAAAAAGGGAAAATCAGCTTATTTCTAAAATATTAAAAAACCCTAAAATTCCTTCATTTTGAGGGTAGAAACTAGAAAAGGAAAGTTGGTATCTTTCCGTATGGTGGCGCTGTGAAGGCTGCGTTTTGAGCTGCAATGGTCGCACCAGCAAAAATGCCCTGCTATGCCAAATCTGTAGCGGCCGAAGGCTGCCCCACCACGTACTGCCAATATTGTGCGCTATTGACAACTATGGTTTATAAAACCTCCCCCTCGTCTAAAAACTCCCAAACAAGGACTATCATGATATGAGCTTTCCCTTTCACTACCAAAAACTAACTCTCAAACCAAGCCTCAAAGTTCTTAAAGATAATAATACTGTATTATAGTTTAATTTTTTCCTTTTATAGAAAAAAGGATTTCATTAAAAAAATAGCTAACTGATTAATTAATTCAATTTCTCCTTGTTTGATATTCTTGATTATTGGAATGTGTGATTTTTTTTTTCTTAACTAATTTTTTAGTATTTTGTCTATCATTTTCCCCCTGCCCAATTTCATCTCCCATTAATATTTAGTTTAGGTGCAAGTTTCTGACTGGAAGTTCTAAGAAAGAGAAAAGGTTTGCATTACTCCTATGTTATCCCCTCAAATTATTAATGTCTAATGAGAAATAGGACTAGACAGTCAATTTGTTATGGTATGCAGGATTTTTAATGAGAGTACCCTTTTAAGGTTGTTGATTCTGAATGCATAAAATGATGATATTTAGTTTAAGCTCAGTGTTTGGGTTGCGTTACTGTACCTAAATTTTCAGTGTAGTTTGCATGAGATCTATGTTTGTATTGGGTGATTGGCTTTGATTTGTTGAGTTCATTTTTATGTCTTTATTTGCAAGTTAGTAACTTGAAATTCATTTTCATGCTTTTGTTGGCAGCTAGACGTTGGGGGAGGTGGTGGAGATATTGGAAAAAAAATCAACCATGGTGGTGGTGATGGAGGTGATGATGATGGTGATGATGATGATTACTTTGATGACTTTGATGATGGTGATGAGGGAGATGAGGGTGGCTTGTTTAGGAGACGGATACTTCTTGAAGAGGTTAGGCATATCATTTAATAGTATTTTTTTGAAATTTCCCCCTTCTGTAAAACATATACAACCTTTTATTGCTTTAATTTGCATTTCCTAAATAAATGAAATTTATTTTGTCCCTGTTGCAGTTATTTGACCGAAAATTTGTGGATGCTGTGTTAAATGAATGGCAAAGGACTATGATGGACTTGCCTGCTGGGTTTCGTCAAGCTTATGAAATGGTACTGTATTTTTCAGTTGTATTTTCTTTTAGTGTGTGAAGCATACGGCTGCATACTGACTAAAGTTTTGCTTTAAGGGGTTGGTTAGCTCAGCTCAAATGGTAAAATTTCTAGCAATCAATGCTAGGCCAACCACCAGTAGGTTTATTTCCCGAAAACTACCTCAAGCACTATCGAGGGCTTTCATTGGAAGGTAATTTCAATTATATACCTATTGTTTTAAGTATTTTATACAAATATAAGAAATTTGGAATCTAATACCTCAAATTTCAACCTATGGTTTCTGAATCATTAGTTTTCCATTTTTGGTTTAAATACCTTTCTTTATGATAAGCTACAAAAGAGAGGGACAGTTCTCTCTGGAAAAACTTCTCAATGATGGAAACCGGAGCTTTAAGTTTTCTGCTTTCCCCTGATAGTATAAGAGGGTTATATCTTTTGCTTACATGGAAAGTACATTGTACATCTAATTTTTACAGTCAAATCGTCAGCATGATGAAAATTTATGCAATGAATGCTTTTACTTTTGCTGTTTGAACTTTCTATTTGGAGTGTATGGTTTTATATACTACTACTATCTCATCATATATAAATCTTTGATTGCACAGGTTGCTTGCAGATCCTGCATTCTTGTATAGGTTTCTATTAGAGGAGGTTGCAACAATAGGATGCTCAGTGTGGTGGGAGTTTAAAAATCGAAAAGATAGGTTTGTTCTGGTTTTTTTTTAAATGATTTGGAAGTTTGTCTGGTGTTCTTATGATGAATTAAAGTAATAACTGTTAACTTTAATTTGACTCTAGGATAAAGCAGGAGTGGGATCTTGCACTTATCAATGTGCTCACAGCAGCAACATGCAATGCAGTAGTTGTTTGGTCCCTTGCACCTTGTCGATCATATGGGAACACTTTTCGGTTTGATTTACAAAATACATTGCAGAAGCTTCCTAACAACATATTTGAAAAGAGCTATCCACTTAGGGAATTTGACTTGCAAAAGAGAATTCAGTGCTTTTTGTTCAAGGCTGCTGAGTTGTGCATGGTTGGTTTGAGTGCTGGTGCAGTACAGGGTACATTGTCAAACACTTTGGCAAGGAAAAAGGAAGGAAGGTATACAGGGTTGGAACCCAACTTAAGTTCAATAGCATGTTTGGTCAAATTAGGAGTTCTTAATACTAATTTTTTTTCTTTACATATGTCATGCCTGAATCATCTGCAGATTATCTGTGACAGTCCCAAGTGTAAGCAGCAATGCACTTGGTTACGGTGCTTTCCTTGGAATTTATGCTAACCTGAGATATCAACTGTTATGTGGATTTGATAGCGCGATGATGAGCCATTTTGATGTTATTGGAGTTGCATTGTTCTTTAGCACAGCATTCAGGTATACCTTTTGCGGTACCAAATGAGTTGTTCGTTGGTATTGTTGAATTTGCTTTACCACTTTAGTTTTAGCAAATCTGCCAATAATTTTATATGGCAGAGGAAGAAAGTATTTTGGAGTTTTGATGCGCCTGTTTTTTGAGCATTTTATTCTGAATTGTGTGCAGGGCCTTGAACGTTCAATTAGGAGAAACTTCTAAGCGTGCCTGGCTCGGAGTTGAGGCAGATCCGCTGGCTCAGTCGGATGACCTCTTGAAAGCTTACAACAGGACTTCTGAGAATATAGAAAAGCCGTCCTCAAAATGGTTTATATCAAAAAATGCAGTTGTTTCTGGGCTTGGGCTCCTGGGCATCAAACAAGGGAATGCAGATGGGGCTGGCGCAGAATCTACACCTAAAGCTCGGCGAAAAAGGGTTGTTCGGAAGAAGGTTGCTGCAGGTTCAGCTTAGTTTCTTCTGATGTAAATGCAGTCATCCAATTTTGCTGTTTGCTAGAGTTTGCTACTACTGGAGTGTCCTTGGCGGTTACTGGCTGCTCCCCACTTTAGTGGACCAAGATTTTTCTTCACATTAACTAAAATTTGAGGAGGGTTATGTTTTTAAATTCTTTTTAGGGATTCTTGTATCGATCCTTTGTGTTTTGCTACCTGAATCTGTACTATATATTTTTAATTTTTCAAATAAAGTAGAGCAAGTATTTTTTCTTCCCTTGATCCAAACACCTGACGTCCTTGTAACTTCAATGCAGACTAAAAAATGTAGTTCACATACTCCTCTCCAGTCAATGATCTTCAAGTCATAGATCATGTAATGTCCCCAGCTTATGTTCCGGAGACTCCTAATCATATTGATTATAAAATTCAACTTATGATTTTCGTCCATTTTTTCCTGGAAGGTGAAAACGTAAGACCTGTTTGGTTTTGTTCATTTTTGTATTCATTTTGTTTGGGTTTTAGGAAATATTATTCTTGAAAACATTTTCAAAATTCAGCTTAAATTTGAAAATAGAAAAAGTTTGTTTTCAACCTTTTTTATGAAAATCAAATATTTGAAAACGAGAATAATAAATACGGGAAAGTATTGTTTTAAATGTTATCTAATTTTAATTAGATCTTATTATATTTATTAATTCATGTTTTATCTTTTATACTTAATCATACATTTTTTTTATTTTTTTAATCATTGCAGCAGGTAATTCTCCTCTCTCTTTTTTTTTTATTTCTTCTTTACATTTGTTCTTTTTTTTTTTAATTTCTTCTTCACATTTGTTCCTCTTTCTTTTCTTTCTTTCTTTTCTCTCATTATTTATTTTTTTTCATTTTTTGTTGAAACACTAAGAAATTTTTTTTCTTTTACTATTCTTGTAAGGTTGAATATGTTTTTGTTGTCTTTATTCTTTGTTTTTTTTTTTTCAATTTTCTTATAGTTTTTGTCATTCAAATTTTGATGGACATTATTATTTTTGATATTTTTGCATATGTATTTTTCAATTTTCGTATAATATGAATGTCATCTGCATGAGTCTTGTAGAAATAGTAACTGTGCTAATTGATTTATATATAAAATGCATTGGTTAATGAAAATTGAAAGGAACAAAGGAAATTGTTTTCAATATTGGCAATACTTCGTTCGAAGAAAAATTAGAACATGTTGTCTTAATAGTAAATGGGATAATTTATTTGGATAGAATAGAATAGACGTTTGAGTTTATATATAAAAAGATTCAAAATTTGAGGATGTTTTCTTTGGAAAGAGAAGGTGAGAGAACAAAGAGAAATGTGAAGAGAAGTTGTTTGGCTTACAATACAAGTTCTGAAACATGAAGTTCTTTAAATATCTTTTTTGGCCCATTAATTATTGCTTGAACGAGTAAATTCTCGTTTAAGCAAAAAATATTCTTACTTGAGCTATAACTCCAAACAAAAAATATTTGTGCCCTATTTGATAATCTCGCTTGAGTGAGATGTCTTGTCACCTAAGCTAGACCAGGTCCAGAGAATTTTCACTTCCACTCGTGCCTTCTTGCTTGGGCAAGAAGATAGTTGGACTAATCATACTCATTCTCATATGGTCAAGAAAACTAGTCTCACTTGAGTGTGATACCGTGTACCAAATTTTTTATTTTAAAAAACAAAGGACAATAGAAATGAGGGTGTTACAATGGTTAGAAGTTGAATTTTATGAGGTAGGAAGACTTACTTTATTGTATTCTCTTAAACCTATATTTCTAATTTTCATCAATTGAGATAATGTAAAGGTTCTCAGTAACGTGTGAGCTAAGAAGACTTATTCTAATTATATCTAATTTTACCTTAAATAATAGAAATATAGACTCTTTTCACATAACAATAAAAGCAAAAGAATTAGGAAACTTCGAAACTGGATTGATTCCAAATAGTAAAATACTTTAGTGTTGAATATAATGATGACAAATTATCTTATTTAAAATTTTACAAGATTAAAAAAAATTAATAGGGACTAACTCCAAAAAAAGTATATTTTTTAGAGACTAATTACTGATTTAAATGTTGTGTAAAATTTGTATTGTCACATAGCAATTATGACATGAAATATCATTTGCTTGATTCTCATTAAATGACTCTTAGTTAACGGTAATGATTATTTTCAAAAAACAATGCAGGACTAACTCTAACAAAAAAATTTATAAGAACTAATTCTAGAAGAGAATATTCTTAAGGATTATTTATTTATTTAAGTCTAATAGTGTTTTATGACAAAAAATAACATTTATTGTTATTAATATATTTTTATCACATTTTTAACCAAATATGTAACGTCCTTATTTTTTTTATTTATTATTTTTATATTTATGTTAATTATTTTTGTATGTTGTAAAGTGTGTGTGCTACAAGATTTCTTGTTGTAGGACAAATTATCCAAAATTAAGAAAGCATTCTCGCTGTAACGAGAGGTGGATAAAAATGACTCAACAACACTCTGTAGCGAGAATTTTGCGAGTTGAGAGGTATTTAATAATTTTTAACTTAAAAAATTTAGATTATAATCCAAGTTATAAACTCTTCTCTATTTTATCTGATTTATTACTTTCTTCCTTCAAAAAATCTCTTTTAAATTTCTCTCTTTCTTCGAATCTAGACTTGAAAATTCACCCTAATTAACTGGGACTAAATTTCTATTTTATATATGAACAAAAAGTCTTAGACATTTATTTTTAGAAATTAATATTTATTCTAATATTTATTTTCTGACTCGTTTAATTAAATATTCTTATATAACACTTTTTTTATTATATTTCTTCTTTTAAATTGCTTTGTTAATTTTTTATTTAATTTATAAATTATTACGAAACTCGTATATGATATTTTTTTAAAAGAAATTAAATATGTATGCAATACTTTTCTTTAAATATAAGTAGATGCATGCATATCAACTAATAAAAATAAGTTTGCAGCTAAAAATATATAAAAATAAAGCAAACTATTTTGAGTACAAACTTATTTAAAGTTTAAGGGCTTTCAAAAAAATTAAGTCTTCTATTTTAATAATTTTATTTAATGTTTTTTTATCCCTACTCAAATTTATTTTTCATATTTGATCTTAATACAAAAATGTTGATAAATCAAAGTTTTAAAAAATTAAAATCAAAAGAAACTTCTTATAAATATAGTTTCAAATTAGAATGATATAAGTTAAAATTCAAAGGTTTCCTTTTTCTTTTGTTTAGAAAGGAATTGAGGTGATTTAAATAAATTCGTTGAGTTTTGAATGTCTCATCCTTGCTAGTATGTTTTGACTATAGTTAATTATGTTATACTCAAATATTAAGCTTCTCATCTACATGACTTGTTATGATGATATATAAGCTGGTTTCACAATAGAATTAGCACCCCATTATGTATACAATTCTTGTAATTTAATTATGAAAGTTGAGATTAAAAGAGAGGTTTGAAACTAATTTTTTCTTTAAAAATGTAAAATCAATTCATGCCTCACCATAACATTGATTCTCTCATACTAAAATATTTTAAATAATTAACTAAAATTATTTTTAAAGAAAAAGTTAGAAAAAATGAAATGTAAAGACCAAAAATATATTTAAGTTTTTTTTTTAAATTGGACTTAGTAAATGTTAAAATCTTTTCTTTTTATTATTTTTTCTAGTTTGTAATAATTCTAAGGTAAAAAGATGTGACTTGTTGTTCATGTTTGAATCTACAAATATCTTTGCAATGAATCCAAACAGAGAATATCAAAACTATCAAATCAAGTGTCTCACAACATGATAATAAGGACAAATTTAAAATGAGTGGATTTATCTTTAATATTATGAGTCCTAATAAAAAAATTTAGTTAAGGACTAATTAGCAATAAAATTTCAATTTCCACACAACAAAAAATTTATAAGTTTCAGAGTTAAAAAAATTCTAAATCTTTTTATCTATTTATTTTTTATTTTTGCAAAATAATAAGATAAAATTTTAGATTTTTAAATAATTATTTGATAATAAATTAAATTGTTAAATTATAAAAAATTAACATGACAACAGTTTAAATATTTCAAAGATTAATTTAATAGTTGAAGTATTTTATTAAAAATACTAGTGGACTAAATATTTAAAAACTTGCTTAATAATATTTTTATTTTGAAGACTAATGTATTAATTTTCTTTTATTGATTTGGCACAATATTTTCTAGAACTTTATGTTGTTACATCGTTCTGTACTTAGTTGGCATAGACATCCCTTAATTAGTTTTCCAAGTAATAAGAGGTCGTTATTACAAACTTATACACTGTTTTTAACTTCAAGTAAATTCATTTTTGGTTAATGTAACTTGAAAAATATTTACTTAAACATGTATATTGCCGAAGAAAATTAAAGTATTATTTTATTAAATCACCAGCTTTACCACATTTTTTTCATCAAACTAAAAAGCAATGGCAACATTAAAAGGAACGTTAGTTCTATTTCTTAGTGTCCTTTTCATATTTTCACTTTTTGTCCAACACTCAGAGGCGCGTCTACTTAATTATGGGGTACTAAGAAGTAATACTGTTCTTGGATGCAGCAAAATATATCCTATTTTTTGCAGAAGACCTGTGGTTAACCCTTGGAAAAGAGGCTGCGAAGTTGATATCCAATGTCGTCACTTACGCTGATCAATATTTATTCTGTAAATACAAAGAAATGTCCATGAGAATCTATAGTTTTTCTTTCCAAGAAAACCGTAATGGTTTTAAATATTATGAAATGTAATATTTGACGATTATGTATCATAAATTTAAACAAATTCAACTTCGATAAATACTTTTGAGTATTTTATGAAAATAAAAATATAATATTTAAATAAATTAAAATTATTTTTGATAAATAAAATATTAAAATCAATTGTTTAAACATTTTAATTCGTCATGAACACTCTCAAGTACTACTTTCATGCTTATTCAACCTTTTAACAAACTTTAAATAAAAGTGAAAAAATTTTATTTACAAAAATACTCAAGAGTTGCAAGAATTCATGTTTTTTTTTTTTTTTTTTTTTTTTGCTTCTCTTTAAACATGATGAAATGAGTGATTTAAAAGGAGAAGGTATTGTGCGACTTTCCAAGAAAATCTTAATAATTTAAAATATTATTAGTGATCACAAAATATGAGGAATATATGTGATCACAATGTACAAGGAAGTGCGTAATTGAGAAAGAAAGAGATTTATTGACTATATGGTTGAATTATATGTGTTGTAATCTTTTATGATGTGTTGCTATTATTTTGATGTTACAAAATGTTTTGATTATGTTTTAATGGTGACAAGAGAACTCATCTTTACTAATATTTTCAGGGAACAAGAGTGACAGATCCTCAAAGACCCATTAGACTAGTGGAATGATTTTTAAA